ACTCTTTGTCTTTAAACTGTTAGATTCCTTCTAAGGCACCTGTGAATTAACTTGCAGCTGTGCAGCCAGCTCAGTAGTCCAGCATCTCTGTTTTTCTCCCCAGAAGAGATTCATCATCTTATACAATGAAATGCTGAACAGGAGGTACTGTTCAAAACCCACTGTGCCACTCAGAGGGTTGGGCACCAACTTGCCATGGAGGGAGGTGGAGAATAGCCTTGAGAAAGCCTGTTAGAAAGTCATCAAAGAGCCACTGAATATGCCTAAGTTCCCTCATCCCAGTTCTTCTTCAGATACAGTGGACTTTAAATGGGTATGTAGATCCATTAGTCTCAATGGACCAATGATAATTTGTATCAGCTGACAACCTGGCATTATCATTTCTAACTTCTGATCACAGTTCAGGCAATTTCTAGAAGTCCCCATTTGTTTTATCTAGCATTGACAGCACCAGCCCAAGAAATGTTACTGAAAGGTGGGAAAGGAGAGAGCTGGCCAGAAAAAGGGGTTTCTAGTTTGTGAGAAGCTTAGGGTTTTTGAAATGTGGTTTTGCACTGAATCAATCTGAAACCAAACTTTTTCTAGATTCTCTGTGAACCACAAATGCTGAGATAATTTGGAAACATCAGAACAGATTAAATGAAACAGGTTCCTTGGAGCCTGTAGCAACCAGGGAAATCGGCATTGTTTTCACTTTCTTCACTGCTATTTATGGCCATGAAACTGAAAATGATAAATTCTCTGAGCAGCTGCAGCAGGCTCCCAGTCCCACGATATGAACTTGTAGCAGAGATCCTGGGAACCCTTTGAGAATTTATAGGCTCTGAGCCCCAGTTTGGCCAGCAGGGAGTCTGGAAACTCTGAGCCCGGTTCCAGATGGGTTTCTCAGTGCTACTGGGGGCTAAGCCCTGAACAGTGCAAAGGCTCACAAGGCTCTGAGGCTCCCAGCTTCACAGCAGAAGGTGTGAAAGTTTAGCATGACTGGCTGCCTTGAGCTCTGTTGCACGGGACCCACTAGTTTAGGGGTGACCCACTTGGCAGTTCTGCCTCAGAGGCATGGACCTTGAAAGCATCAGATCCCAATGCTGGGGTGGTCTGCTAGGAATCCAGGCAGGGCTCCACTGGAATCCTGCCTTGGCTTTGGTGCAAGTTGGTTGATGTATGGAATGACACATTTCAGGCTCAATGAATTGGTGTTTTCAATCAAAATTGTGCTTTGTAGAAACTTTCTGAGTAGCGCTAGTAGAGAAAGAGAACTGGCCTAACCTCCAAGAACAGCAAACTCTACTTTTTTACTTGTGTCAAGGGACTTGTTGCTGATCAGCAGTACAATATATGCACCCAAATAGCAGGAACAAAAACACAAAAACCAATGTGATTGCAGAACTGCTGGCAATTATCTTTGAAAACTCTTGGTGATTGAGAGAGGTCCCAGATGTTTGGAAAAGGGCAAATATAGTACCTATCTTTAAGAAAGAGAAGAAGGAGGATCTTAGGAACTACAGAGCAGTCAGTCTCACCTCAGCCCCTGGAAAAATCGTGGAGCAGATCCTCAAGGAATCCATTTCTAAGCACTTGGAGAAAAAGATGATTAGGAACAGTCAGCATGGATTCACCAAATGCAAGTCATGCCTGACCAACCTGATTGCCTTCTATGCTAACTGTCTCTGTGGATGCGGGGAAAGCAGTGGACATAATATACTTTGACTTTAGGCAAGGCTTTTGGTACCATCTGCCACAGCCTTCTTACAAGCAAGCTGAGGGAGTATGGGCTGGATGAGTGGACTGTAAGGTGAATAGATTAATCGAGTCTGCCCACAGTGCATTGGATTAATAGATTGTGAGGCTGGACGGGACCTCGGAAGATCATCGGGTCCAGCCCCCTGCATCAAGCAGGAAAGATAACTGGGGTTAGGCTTGCTTTTTAAGACACAAATCATAGGGATGACTCTTCTTTGGACCCTCTCAAGCTTGTCCATGTCCTTGTTAAAGTGTGGGGCTCAGAACTGGATGCAGTACTCCAGCTGCAGTCTCACCAGTGTTGACCAAAGCGGAACAATCACTTCCTTGGTTTTGCTGGAGATGCATCGATTGATGCATGCCAGAGTATTATTAGCTCTACTGGCTATAGCATTGCACTGCTGGCTCATATTCATACTGTGGTCTATTATTACCTCCAGGTCCCTTTCTCTGGTGGTGCTAGTCAGTTTGGTGCCACCAAGCCTGTAGGTGTGTTGGGGGTTACTCGTCCTGAGGTGGAGCACTTTACATTTCTCGACATTGAACTTCATTAGGTTCTGATCCACCCAACTTGCTAGCCTGTCTAGGTCTGCCTGTAACTATAGCCTATCTTCAAGTGTGATCACCTTCCCCCGTAACTTGGTGTCATAAAGATTTTGAAAAGTACTGGACCGAGCACTGACCCCTATGGGACACTGCTGCCCACTTCTCGCCAGGATGACACAGATCCATTCACTATGACTCTCTGGGTCCTATCCTGCAGCCAGTTTCTCACCCACCTGACTATTTCGGAGTTAAGCCCACAATCCTCCAATTTTCTCGCAAGGACATTGTGGGATACTAGATCAAAGGCCTTTTGGAAGTCAAGGTATACAATGTCAACCTGCTCGCTCATGTCCAGGTGGTGAGTTACCTGGTCATAGAAGATGAGATTGGTAAGGCAAGACCTGCCCACAAGGAAGCCATGCTGGCTGTCATTCAGAATCTTACCTTCTGCAAGCTTCTTGCATATAGACTCCTAGATGAACTTTTTTAGGCTTTTCCCAAGGATGGAAGTTAGGTTGATTGGCTTATAGTTACCTGGGTCCTTCCTCCTGCCATTCTTGTGGATGGGCACAACACTGGCCCTCTTCCAGTACTCAGGGACTTTTCCAGAGTGTCACAAGTTGTGGAAGAGTTTCGCCAGGGGTTCTGCAATGACTTCGGCCAGCTCCTTCAGCAGTCTCAGATGAAGATCATCCAGTCCCGCTGATTTGTATATGTCTAATTTTTTTAACTGGTCATACAACAATTCTATGGCAATAGTAAGAAGGCGATTATTTCTACCGTGCTCATCCTCTACTCTACCCGGCATGGTTTTCCTCTTGGTCTAGTGAAAGACTGAGGCAAAGTAGTCATTCAGGAGTTCAGCTTTCTCCTTGGTGCTGGTAAGGAGCTCTCCTGAGTTGTTGAGCAATGGCCCCACACTCTCATTTGTTTTCCTCCTGTTCCCTATGTACCTAAAATTGAATCGAGTCTGTTGGAATGTGGTAACTACTGTACTTCAGCAGACTCTAGCACCACATGTATCAGTGTCCCTGTGCTGAAAAATGGTGGCGAGGGTGCTTTAACTAAAGCTTGTTGAATGGGACTAGTTGATATTAGTTTGGGCTCTTCTCTATAGGAGGCAGCATGATAAATTTGCTTTTGTCTCTAAGAGTGTGCTGAGCACAACAGTGCCCTTTCCCCCCTGCCGACCCTATCCAGACTCCTCTTTTACTTACTACAACAGTGTGAGTGTTTATTGGGTGACCATTAAGGACAATGGCCCAGGCCTTTGAATGCATTCAATGCTTATCTCTTGGTCCACGATGCCCAAAGCATGCTACCATCTATGTATAAGGGTCTTGTGCATCTTAGTGCTCTGGGGCCATCCTTCCATAGAGACAATATAATACATTTGGTAGCTGTACTAGGAGAAGGAAGCCGTGTTCATTGACATAACTCAGACCTTGGGAGCCCTAAAGATTTTAGTCATAGTAACTATTCATTAGGAGATAGTTCTTGGTTCATATCACCAAAAGCTGAGTGTAAAGGCAGCTGGTGTAAAAAGGCAGATGGTATAAATTGGCACAGTTCCACTCACATCAATGGTGAAGAATCAGTTTACACCAGGCAAGGATCTGGCCAACAATGTTTGTTTCAAAGGGAGGGGATAAAGAATGTCATATGGGGGAGATGAGCAGGGGGGAAGCTGGACTAATCTGGCACCTGGTAGCAAGTAGGAGATGGAGGGAGCCACTGGGGCAGCTGGATGGGATCTTTTCTGACAGTTCACTGCCTGTTTGGTTTTCTCAGTGCATTTGCACCAGTGCTAATACACATCAGGTCCCCAAACCAGATCCACTTCCTCAAAACCTGGCACTCCAACAATACAAATGCTGGCAATACAAACCCTATCTATCATCTCATCAGGGACCCAATCCTGCAGCTTTCACATGGGCACTATGCCCACTAAAGTCAACAAACTCCTCTGGTTTAACTGGTGTAATAGCTGATTTCATCCCCATGGCTCTGAAGTCAATAGGTGTCTGGCTTCAGAGAGGAATGTGGGATCAGGCAATCTCTTAGCAAACACAGGGGAGAGGCTCTGTTTGGGTTGAGGTTTTCTTGCTCTGCCTCAACTCAGCTTACGGGACATTTACATGGGCGACAACGGACCAGTAAACATAGTTCTGGTGAGGTACAAATCCCGCAGACCAGCTTCCAAACATGCAATTCTCCAGGAAAGCTGTGGCTTAGCAATAGGACTGTTTGGGTAATAAAATGAGCCCTTCACGTCTGCTTGCAGTTTTATAATCATTCCACAGACACTGGATCATAGGGGCTGCAGCACAAACTCTACAATCCAAGCCAGTGGGGCTGGAAATAATTTAGACGTTTCTGCTCCCCCCTCCCCTTTTAATAATATTCTGTAGCCCTATTAGAGGAAGGCAGAGATTTGTACAAGTCAGTGACACAATTACTCCTGAGGGGAAAAAATGCCTGCATTCCTTGCTTTCCTTTCCCCCACTTAAACACCAAGTTGAGATGAATTTTTTTTATTGATATTATGCAAGGGGCTAGGCATTTTTTTCCCAGGGGTGCTTTGATAGCTAAGGTAGTTCAAACCCCTACAGTCATCTTGGCTTATCAGCCAAAGGAGATACATTCCACAGGGCTGCTCCCTTTATAAGTCACTGCTGGCTGTGTGCCCGTTTACAGTTCAGCAACCTCTGAAAAGAACAGCCCCCTGGCTGCTGCTGCTGCTGCCGCTGAGAGCGTTTTAGTTTCCTCTAAGGAAAGACTCCATAGTTCTGGAAAGTGGGAAGGGAAAATAGACATCGCTCCGTGGGCTGCTTCTCTCCCCCTTCTTTCTTCCGAGAGAGCCTGCCACAGTGATAAGATGAGAAAGCTGGGAGCCAAGGAGCATTTGATTTAAAGCAAACAGTGATAGCCCTAAGGACAGCAAGGGGCGTTGACCACTGGAAGAATGGCTCTGCCACACTCAAATCCTCCTACCTGTCAGTGACTGGACGGAGATTTGCAGGACACGTCTCCATTTGGATGGCAATTGAATGTCTCCATGATGTTCAGCTGGCACAAGACATTCACCGTTGGAGCTTTGTGGAGAAGAGGTACGTTGTGGCATACAGGGTCTGCTCTTGATCCCAGGCAGCTCCTGGGTGGCTTTTTACTCGTTAGCTCTATCAAGTGAGGAGGTACATGGGTATCTTTCCTGTTTTCCATGTTGCCAGTAAGAGAGAAAGTATGTTATTACATGTCACTTATTGCCTGTGCTATAACAATGGGTTTTTGCTTTTGATGTTGCCTGCCTCTCAAGGCGATCTAGGAACTTCACAGAAAGATGCAGAGCAAGGGCTAAATCTTTTGAAGTCCAGAGAACCTGTTATTTACCACTGATTGACTGCACCCAGCACCATTGACTATGTGTTTGTCCTTAAGTTCTACCTTAGACCCAATACTCACCTACGTCATCTGCTTCTTTATCACTCACCCAGAGTTTGCAACATGACTTAGGATCCAATCCAAATCTCATTGTGGTCCATTATTTCAGCAGTCTTTGGATCAGGCTCCCAAAGAGCCAAAAACAGCCTTCAACTAATATTTCTACAAAGTAGTGTCATGACAAATAGGCTCCCTTGGTTGTTCTGGTGATAATAAACCTTATCAGCAGTTGATCTTGCTCGCAATTAAATGGTGCACTTGCTGCTTTATGAATTACTTTGTTTTAGCACAGGTAAGAGTTTGGGTCAACATTGCCCCAATGTGTCTATTACAAACATTTGTCCAGGGCTTTACAGCACAGCCATAACACCCGAGTCTTGGTTAAAGCTAGGGTAAGAAGACTACAGCTCTTGGGCGGGGAGGGGGCAACATTCTCTATTTAAAAATGAAATGTAGGAGGTTGGGGGAGGTGAGACAACCCCAGCATCTTGGCCACTTCGCAGTTTTAAGACAGGAAGGGCTGTAGGAAGAGAATTAGGTGAACTGCAGGCTTGGATATTTTTGTATTGCAAATGCAAACTAGTTTCTATCCATATCAGGGGTTTTTAATTTTAATATTAAAAGCTTAAATTTGGCCAAGGCTGTTGAATCACTCTGGGCAATGAGATTAAAACAAGTTGTTAAGAATCCAGGATCAGACTTTGAGCTTCCTTATTCTGTATTTACATGGGTGTAATGCATCAATTACAGGGTACTTACTCCAGTTTGTACCAGTTACTCAGCTCAGAATCTGGCCGAAGACCATGAAAATCATTTATGAGGTTGGACACCAATGTTAAATATGTTTCTTTAGGACGGTGCATTGTATTGGTCATACACTCCTATTCTTTTACCCTGTCCCATTCACTGTGTATGAGAAGCTGCTCAGGGAGATGGCCGTTGGTGTCATGGCCATTTATTTATACAGGGGTATAGGTTGTAGTCGTGTTGGTCTAAGGACATAGGCAGATAAGGTTCTTTGGGTAAATCTGATATCTTGAGTTGGTCTAATAAAAGATATCAGATTTACCCAAAGAACCTTGTCTGCCTATGGCCATTTGCATGCATCTTCACTACAATAAATGGTGCAGTCACCCTGGTTTCATAGGATGTAGCTGCATGGGGGAGGCGGAGGTGGCTGAGACTTTTGGATGTGGTGGATATTGCAAAGTATGCCCAGCATATGTTGCTGAATTTTGTGATCTTCTGGGCTCCCAAGAAAGATCTTTGGTTGCACAATCTGGTACTTCTCACTAGCACCAGAAAATCAGCTCTTGATAAAAACAGGGATGAAAGACAAAAAAGGCATCTGAGGAAGTGACAAACTCTGAAGTGACTATGGACATAATTTAGTTGGGCTTTATCTACACAAAGGCAGCATGGTTAATAAGTACATTTTGAAGATTTGTACTAAACTGGTCTATCCAGCATGGGCATCTATCTTTATTTTTCTCTCTCTTAAGGACCTCACAACAATAATCCAAAACTTTATGATTTGGATTGCTGCAATGTGCTCCACACACAGCAACCCCTGGAGACCACACACAGCAGCTGAGGCAGCATGTAGCTGCCTGCTTGCTTGCAATATTAACCATAACAAATAAATTTCCATGGTGCCCTCATCTTGGATACACACAGTTATATATTTAAAGGTAAACCTGTTTCAATCAAAATCTGTACTGAACCACACTGAATACAAAATAGACTAAACATTTAAGTAAAAATGAATGTAATATATTCAGAGGCCTCTAGAAAAAAATCTTTGATTTGCAGGCTGTGTGCTTGTCTACAGCAAGAAAGAATCAGGGAAAGACTTCTAACCATAATAAAGATCTGAATATAAGAATAATAAGAATCTAAACTATTAAGCTGTTTAATTACTGAAATAAATGTACATATTTATAGCAGATCCTTTTGGGTAGTAAAAGGATATATTAAGCCAAGGGGAAAAGCTCTATTAGTATATCCATTTTTAATGGTTATGTCAACCAATGAGAATGCGCCTTATGTCAGCCAATAAGAACATGTAAAAGTTTATGAAAATTGAATATTTAAATGAAGGCTTTCCATTTAGAGATTTAAATGGCCTTGTTTCCAGTCAATCTGCCCTTATTCTGGCAGCTGCCAAACTGGCCCAGATGCAAGTCTGAGCTATGCTAACTCACACTGGTGGATAATAGCCTCACTTATCGCAAAGGGATGAGATTGCTGGAGCACAGTGCTATACTTGATATGCTTCAGATTATATTTACTAACCCTCTTGAACAATTTCTCCAGGGCAAGTACTGCTGGGCCTCACATGTACAATGTGCTGCCATTTACAAAAGTGGGGAAGGTGAACCTTTTGGCTTGTGGTAATTTGCAGTCTGGCCACAAACCAGATTCTGATTCCCCAAGGCACAGTGTGAACATGTCACAGCAAGGTCAGGGAGGAAAGAAACTTTGCTATTTTGCCTGGAAGTGTCCTTCACCCCATGGAGAACAAGAATTACTGTTACATTAGTGGGTGGAGACCTTGGCAGGAGAACAGACCTCATTGCAATGGGCATTAAAAAAAATCAGAAAAATAAACTTGCTCAGATTGTTTTACGCTAGGTGCAGGCCACAAGGCATGAAGTCAATTTCCTTGAGCCCCAGGAGAGGCGGCAAGTCCGATTCAGTGCTCTGGATTAGGCCCCATCTCTGTTAAGAGCAGCCAAGAATATGCTGCATTTCTTGGAAATTCTGTGGCAGGGCTCAAAAACTGCATCTGCAAGAGCAGCTTTGGGAAGATAATGAAAACCAGGCCTCTCCCTCACTGCTGGGGTCAGCTCTACATTTCTGATGAACCTGTCAACAGCTTGATACTGCTGGCTAAAGGAAGGAGTGTGTGGAACTTCAAAAGGAGGAAAAAAAATGAAAGGGCATTTGAGAAGTAGAGGAGGCATGTGAGGATTTGAAGCTAAATTTTCCTTAATCAACTGAAGAAAAGCATGGACAGAGGTATGCGCTCTCTGCCAGGCACAATTCTCATCTTTCATTACCATCAAACCTTACCCTCTAATAAACAGGCAGAGGGAAGGAGAAAGGGGAAGCCGTGGTGATGCTGGTGGCTGCTCACAAAGGAGTTTAGGGGACAGGCAGTTACAGTAAAAAGAACCCCAAGCATCTATAAAGCATTGGCACAAAGAAAAAAAAGTTTAAAGGGCCACCACATTTGGCTGCAGTTGGCAAGTCATAGGAACAGAGAATAGAAGTGGACACTTTTGTAGCAATGAAGCATCCTAAACGTGTGTATTGAGGACTGGGGGGGTCCACCTGACCATTGTTGTTTTTTTCTGCCTGATGGGGCATGTCAAATGATTCGGTGCTTTAGTTGACCACCTGACCCATTGATCTAACCTTTACTCATAGGCTGAACAAGGAGGTGTTTCTATACAACAAGGTCAATAATAGGAGATGGTATATCAAAGTTCATTACTGGCTAACCTGTGCATGTTTAAGTAGAAGGGTAAGTGAGGATGGGGCCATGAAAAGGGAGTGGTAAGAAAGGCTGGTTGCTGTGCTATTCCCAGTAAAGGAGATGAGAAGTTTTGCTTGCACTGGTTTCCTAATTCTTAATCTGGAAAAGGACTTATTTATTCTCCCTCATTTTAACAATGAATTAAAAAAATAAGACACAGAGGGCCAATACTAAAAGGGTTTGTCTATATTGGGGGGGGGGGGGGGGGGGGG